TTATATGATAGTGGAATTGTTAATGCATTTAAGGAGAGGGTTAGGTTGGGTGGTAAGGTAAGAAGAGTTTTCAAAAAAAAAAACCAATCTATCAATATCCGACAAAATATATTATGTTATACCCATATATCAAAACTTATGATATAAAAAAATAAATTATAACCAATTTATTTTCTTCAATTTTTAGAAAAAAAAAATTCTTTCTCCTATTTTGTGCCCCTAAAATTGTTGACTGCATTTAGATTAGCATTTTTCATAAACTTTAACGTAGATTTTTTTAAAAAATCTCTATAATATGTGTTTTTAGAGTTTTAAAAATTATTAAAAATCACCATCATTTCTCTCATCTCTTATCCGCCATCCTTGTAACCCACATTTTTTCTTCAACCTTCCTGCCACTTGTCAACTCCTCACCATTCCCTTTCCTCCCCTCTTCCCCCACCCAACCTCTAGATTCATATCCCTGCGACCCAATATATTTAACTTTACCTACCATAATGAAAATATAAAACTGAAAATTGATTACAATGGTTGCAATTATTAGCATCTAAAAATGGAAATGAAAAACTAATAATATCTATAATACCCTCAAGTATTGCAATCAATATATATATATATATATGTATTTTAACATAGCAAGTCCATATTTACATATGAAGACCGCAATAAGAATATATAAAATAATTAATGATACCAAAAGTTATCCTTAGTGTTTAGGTTTCACACTCTTATTCAAATCTAATCAGGGTCAGATATATACAAATTAAGTAGTATTTTAGAGTCGAATGTTTTATATCTTACTTTTAAACCATACTGTTACTTTTTTTAAAAATTTTTTGGTAGAATTGGTGTTGTTATTATCATTATTTTTATCAAAAATGAATATTTCAAAAAAAATTCCACATTAAAAGGCCAGTAGTTTTTGTTTAGCGATTTCATAATTAAGATTTCATGAATGGTATCATTCTTGATTTTTTAAATCCATGACATTATTTCCATTTTTGTTTTCTATTTAATTTTGCCCTTTTGCTTAGGATTACTAAGTTAAAAGATAAAATACTATCATTATTTTTTTTACTTTTACTAAGTTTGGCAATGTTTCTTCTTTATTTACCCTCTCACTATAAACTTCAAAACAAATTTCTATATAAGTGGAGCCACTTCATACCTATTTAAATTAGAAAGGCATAAAAGCCACTTCTTATTTAGGAAAATGTTATTTGCACTCCATTTTTTATTATTCGCAATCCCACCATTTATTTTATCATATAACCTAATTAATGAAAGCATGAAGGGATGTTATATTTATTATCTCTTCTTATGGTCTTCTAGAAGTATTAATTGGAATAGAATCATAAATAACGCAAGGCAATCATAGATATAGATAAGAGATGGTAAATTGCGATTTTTGGTGAAATCATATTGTTATCTCTTATTATTGGGTTGGAGGAGTTTTAATCGAAGTGGAATTATTAATTGGAGGAATATTATTTGGAGTGGGAAGATGTGTGAAGGGAGGAGTGTTAGTTGGAGTGGAATTCTTATTTGATGGAAACGTAGTTGTGTGTTTCAAACGTAGACATGATGTATTTTATGAAATAAAATAAATGTAAAATGCTAGAAAAATAGAACTAAGAGTGGGAAGGTGTGTGGAGGCTTGTTGCTAAAAATCCCTTCTCAAATTTATATAGATATAGATCTTCTTTTTTAACCCTCTTTCCTGAATGTTTTCTCTTCTCACTCAACCTCCCGTGAAAAAGTATTATATGGTCAAGGTGTATTGCGTAATACTCTCATGTGCTATATCATAATCAATTCTATCCTAATAAGAGACGTGCTTTCTTGTCTAATAGATACTAGACATGAAAAATCAATCTGACTTATTTGATATGATGTAATTTATACTAATGCACCATGTATGAGTGATAGTTTTCCCAATTATTGTTGTTGTGCTAATAACCCTAATGGAGTCTATGCTGTAAAGGAACTTGCCAACAGATGGATAGATAATTAAAAAAAAAAATTTGAACCCATCAAAATGTAGACTACTAGAGTGGGATGGTATATTGAAATGACAAGGATGTAGCGATCCTAGTGATTATAAAGATATTTTAGGATAAGATTCTCAACGTTCTAGGCAAACTTATTGTAATACACCTGTTCCTATCTTTGCAGATGTATCATGTGGACCTGATCCAGGAAAAACTGTTAGAACTCAACCAATGATTGATTAATCCGAACACGAGACAATTCAACATACTTATGCCCTCCTCAGCAGGTAAAGATTACGTACATAGGTTGGTTTAGTTGAATGCAACACCAAATCATTACTCTTAATTTTGTAGTCAAAACACTACAGTTATTTCAAAAGTGTTGTTTCATCCCCAAGTCGACAAACTCCAATAACAAGCTAATTGGTCGACTTAAACTCTTTAAGTAACTAGCAGTTGATTTGCACAGGATTGTTGACGACTCAAGCAATTGACTAAAAAGTAAGAGAGCTTAGGATTGTGCATTTTATGGGTCAGGGCCTCTCCAGTTGAGGCTCTGTTCAGTTCCGTTTAATTGTATAAACTGACACAGTTTTAGTATAAACTAATATATTATTAGTGTTACCGTGAGTTTGCACCAAATCAGTAATAATTCATAGAGTTATTATCACTTTACCCCCTTAAACTATATCACTACTATCAGTTTACCCCTTAACGTTATCTTTTAGTCACTTTACCCCCATGAGTAATTCAACTCAATATATTAAGAAATTTTGAACAAAAATACCCTTTTTTTTTATAGCATTGCTACATTGTTATTATCACTTTATTCGTTTAGATTATAGTGATACAATTACTTTGGTTCCTAACATTATATTCTAAGCATTTCACCTCATCATTAATCTAACTAGTATGGTCAAAAAATATTTAAATATATTTACCCTTTTTATACATAATTAAAAATAAAAAATTGGAATGGTTATTCTTCCTTTTTTTTCACTTTAAGACATCGAAAAACATAAGCTCTCCAATCTTTACTGCTCAGAAATCTGTCTAATCTTTCTTTAACTTCACCATTCTTTTCCTAGTTATCACACCAAGTCCAAGGTTTCCCTTCAAATCCTATGTCAATGAGTTGTTTACTTCTTATGAAGTTTCTGAATTCTCTAAAGTTATTCTCAAGTCTTTTCACACCACCCCATTTCTCCTTATTAGAGAGAATATCATTCATATCCCAAGCAAGCAACCATTTCTCATTCCAAATCTATTTTCTGCATTCAATTGTTTTCCACTGTTATTTTCTGACCTGATCTTAGTACTTGCATAAATACACATGAATAACCAGCTGGTATTTCTGCAATTATCCTCAATCTTCAATTCAATAGTGAAATCAGTAAACAGCACTTTGGTAATCACAATATCTAACCTCCAAAACATATCCAAGCCACCAGATTTGCCTACCGAATCTACCACAAACAGTTTATCATGTATGAGCTTCATCATAACAGTTTTCATAAAAGATTTTTTATTCTTAGTTTCTGACAGGAAAATTAAATTTGGGGAATGGAGTTTCACTGCCTCCTCTAATTGGAGAATTGTCAAAAGACTCCCAACACTTCGACAGTTCCACACCAAAACCTTCATTGAGAGCTAAGAGCCCCATTTAGGTTGAACTCCACCACTTTCAGCCTATCATTTTCTTTATTAGCCATATTCATCATTCTATTCCTTTTCTGCCCTTTCCCCTCATCAATTTCTCCTCCAATTTCCATCTCCATGTTGTTGGTTTTCCTCTTCCTAGTTTCTATCACTTGTTCACCCCTCCCATATAGTCACTCAAAGGACTTCTTTTACTCACTTCCTGTACTAATCTCTTCCATCCCCTATTGCCTTTATATTTGCCCTTTTTGGCCCTACCATCCTTTGTATTCCCTTTCCCTACCTCTATATTGGTGGCCCCCTTCATTATCTCCTGCTCCTTGTTACTTTTCCCCAGCCATGTATTTATTGCAATTTCCTCATCAATCCACATTCCATCTACTTGATTGAGTCCTGGTGAGTCCATGATTAGACTCAAAGATTCCTTTCCATCTCTCTTGATGTTACTTCCCTCTTCATCTCTCTGGTTGTCCCTATGCTATTTCTCTATCATCATGTTTTCACTATTACTACTAAGTTTCCCATCCCTATTTACCTTCTCACATTGTTTCTTCTGCTGTTCCTTTTCAACATTCACAACTTACCTCATAAGAAACTCGTCCCCTTGATTTTCTTTTGATACTTCCTCAATACTATGCATTCTCTCATTAGATTTCCAAGTCAGCAACAACTGCCAATTAAACGTTTCCATCCCTTTATCATTTTTGGATTCACTTCTATTGTTATTCTCTGGTTGGTTAGCCATATTGTATTTCTTAGTAGGACTTCTAGGTGTACTAGCTCTAAGCCAAGCCCCAAACTGTTGTTCGCTATTTATATTAGCTCCTTTATCCTTACAGTTTCTTTCATTGTGTTCTAGGATCCCACAGCAATAACAAAAATCCGGACATTTCTCATATCTAAAATCTATCTATTTTAATATCCCATTCATTTTGATAGTGATTCCCCTAATTAATGGTTGTGTCGGGTCTATTTCAACCAAAATTTTTAATTGTTTACCTTCCTTACTCCCCATATTAGGAATTATGTCCTCTTTTGCTGAGGGAAACCCCCCCCCCCCCAACCCGCTCCCAACCCTTTTTCCAGCTTCCTTAGGGATCCAATGTATGGGCAGGTTTCAAATCCAGACCTATATCCACGTTTTCCTAAAAGCATACTCATCAATTTCAATACCTTCTTTCCCTGGGAGCACTACCATAGGCAAGTTATCATATATCCATGGCCTTCCATTTAACACTCTGTCCCTATCACTCGTATTATCAAGTACAAATTGAAACAAATTTACCCCAATTCCCACAAATTTCATGTGTTTAGCAAAACTTCACATATTATTGGCAAAACTTCTCATACCTGCAATATTCATTGTTTTTTCTCCTACAACCTCCCAATAATGCTAAGCTTACATTCTGCCAGCCCATAAACCACATCCTTCCCATTTATCTAAATATCCCCTGCCTTCTTCTCTGAAAGAACAAACTTCCGCAGCACCTCCTCTATCTCATCAGCCATTTGAACCAGCTTTACTTTGTATTCCACCTGCCAACCTTTCACCCCATGGATCTCCGGCCCTTAAACCTGCAAAAAACAAAAAACCAAAAACAACAGCAGAAACAAAGGAAACTAGGGGAAGCAGCTATCTAAAGTAATAGTACGAAACTAGAATCTACAAAAGAAGCTAAAAAAGGATACGTCAAAGAAGTAAACTATTTTTTTTTTAATAAATGCTCCAGATTAGCTCAAGACACTGAATGCTCCAGATTAACTCAATCTAATTAGAAAACTGAAGAAGTTGATCTACGGGATGTGTATCTGCTCACGATTTTGAAGCTATGAGGACGAGAACAGATTCTGAGCTGGGAAACTAGCAAAACTCCAAGTAGAAGCTCCTATCTACTATCATTAGCTAAGATTAGTTCATCACTGAAATCTATACAGTCACATCTATGAATATGCATATTTGCTCATGAATTTGATGCTAGTTTGAAAAGGGAAAGATTCAAAATTTGGCAAAAACTAGGCGGGCTTGGTTTTAACGCTCCGTACAGTTTTGAAGTTTGGAAAATTTAAAATTTTTTAAAACACCAAGGGGACAAGCTCTCCAGCTAGAGAGAGAAAGCAACTCTCATAAAGAGAGACTTGTTTTGCTTCATATATGTTTGACAAGAATGCTACATTTCTAGTTTACGTTGTTGTATACAAAAAATGTGAAGCCATTACGCTTATTTTTTCTTTTTTTGAGACGACAACTATTGTATAACCTATTTATTCTAAATTAATTAGAAGTAAATGAGAGTCTAAAAAGGATTTGTGTTAGGGGCTAATAGATACACAGACTTTACTAGATCAAAGGAGTGATTTAACACAACCCTTGAATTTTTTTTTCCTGCAGGTGGGATTTGAACTCCCACCTACAACCCAAAAGCTAAGCTCAATGGTTAAGCCCATTACGCTTAGTGCAGTATTATTTCTTGCTCAAGTAGCCCTTTATGTCCATAAAAAATTTAGGTATACACTTTTTCTGATTATGTTTCCTTAACATGATACAACAATGTTTGGATTGCATTTTTTTGAATTTTCTGTAGAAAAAGTGTTGTAACGATTTAATATATGTGAAGTAAAAAGATGATTGAAAAATATATTCAAGGAAATTGTGGCAAAGAAGACCAAGTTTTTATTTCCTTTTAGTAGCATTCTTGTGTTGCATAGCATCCATTTTTCGTTTGAATACCATATGCTGAAAGAAATCAACGTTGTCAAGAACAACGGCTATACAAACGTCCCAAACGACTCCACATCACTCTAAATTATCTGGCGCCTATCTTGATCCAACACAATTTTGTTAAGACCCGCATAACACATTTTTGAAGAAGTGCACTTTTCTTCTTTTTGTTTATTTTGTGCAAAATTGCTTTTTCTTCTAGTCCTAAATAACTCCATATCACAAGAAATCCTCAAAGCCCATTGTACCTGTCTTAATTGTGTTAAAACTCGTCTCAACTGAATATAGAAGAGGCCCATGAATGACACTGTAGTTTCATATCAAAACAAGGAAATTAATCCTTTTTCTAATTAAAAAAAAAAGATAATATCTCAAAGAATACACACACCCATTTTCTCTCTTTTAGGTGGCGTGGTTAATTGAAAAAAATTGATTGGTCATTTGGATACTTGGATTTTATCCATATTCATATCCAACTCTTCTCATAATTTCTATCTTTTTACAACTTAATCCTTTTAAATAAATTTGAATTATATTTTATCTCGGTTTCCCTCTCTCTTCTAACAAATCTTCTAACAAACTTTGTTTTTATTTATATATTCATTTAATTTATTTTATCTATATGCAATAAATTTACTTGGTGTTATTTTAATTGTTACTTCATTAAAGTTGCTAGAAAATTAATATTTGTTCATGGGGAAAACATATTTTTGCATCTTTGGTGTTTAACTGATTACGGGCATATAATTTTAGATTTTTTAATCATATAAAAATTTAATAACTGATTCAAAGGTTAATATGGTACTTGAACACTTAGATGCATTAATTTGGTAAAATAAATATTTATAATTATATAAGAATATTACTTTTTTGAATTATTCATGCTTCTATAAATTTACAAGTAATACTATTAAAAAAAAACTCTGTTAATACACGGATTATAATAATTGGGCTGTTGGCAAACACTGAAACCCATTGTGCACACCAGTCCTACAAACTCTGCACTTCACGGCATGGTACAGGCCAAGCCAGGTTGGATTTAGTTAGTGGACGTGGTAAAACAGCCTTTTGTTTCTTCTATATCTTGACCCCTGAGACCCATATGGTTTATTTGATTTTTCAAAATTTTCTTCTTCAAGGCAAGATCAAATTGAGCTGACATGGAGATAAAACAAGTGTCCTTTTGATGAAAAGGATATTTTATTATTCAAAATGCTGAAAATCGCCAATACAATTTATGTCACAAAAGTGGATGGAGAGTTCCAAAGGGATTCAACAAAGTCAGAGATTTTAGTATAATGTGACAATTTATGTGCGACTTTGTTTGCTTTTCTTGAGATTCAATCTATATCAATATCATTATAATCAGACAGAATTATGTACGTAAATCATTAATAATTGATCCTACATCAGAAAAAACATCATCTTTAGACTGGAAATGTTGAATGATTGATAATGCATCTCCTTCGACAACAAAACTTGGAATGAGCAGGTTATTTGCAAAGATTAAAGCCTCCCTTGCTGCTATAGCATCTGCCACAGTACGTTCAACAATTCCATGGAATTGTTGAGACAATTCAGCTGTGAAATAGCTTACATGATCACGAATTACTATCCCAATACCATGGACTTGCTTTACCGTGGAGATTTTGTACCGTCAAAGATGGCCTGATTTAAAGGTGGTGCTGATCACCGTATTCTTGATGAGTGCTTGAAATGTTGTGAACCATTGGCATTGGCCCCTTTTAAAGGCAGCAAGATAGGTGGACGAGAAATGAACTACCAATAGTGAATCACGTCTTTTCCCGTCAAACAAAGTGGAGCTCCTATTGCTCCAAATCTCAACACACACAAATCACAACAGCAAAAAACTCACATTCAGCGGCAGGCAAAGTTCTAATAATTTCCTTGACCCGAAGAGTGACACTATAATGACAACATTGTTGAACTTCCTCTCTAGAAAACAAGCACCCATATTTGTGTGGACATTGGACAAAGGAATATCCAACCGATTCCTCAATTTTGGCACACCATTATTCAATTTGTTCTTTGTTTTTAAAGAGAGTAAATGCGGCAGCAACTAAAGTGCAAGCGATAATAATTGACTAGGCAGTGCCATTTTGTGATACTGTTTAGCTTTCTCTTCGATTCTTGCATTGTTCAATTCAATACCAACGACAATAAAAATGCACCTCATGTGGCCTAGTATTAAATACAACAACAGGATGGATTAGAATATGTTAGGACTTGCCCAGGAATAAACAAACTAAAGTTAGAACAAAATAGCCGGTATAACCGACCATATAATGGTTAGGCCGTAGATACCAGCCATATAATAATTAGGCAGTAATACCGACCATATAAAAGGGTTGTGGCAATCCAATAAAGACAAATAACAAAGCAAAATTAAAGACACAGAAATTTACATGGTTCGGTCAAATTGACCTACGTCCACGGGTGGAGGAGGAGCAAATCTTCTACTATGAAAAAGGAAATACAAAAGCCGTAGGAAAGTGGTTCCTAGACCAAAACGACACTTACAAAAGGTTTAGGAAATATTTCTAAACTCAAAACAAGAGAGCCTAAAATATTTGACTATAAATGGGTTATATGACCCAAGAAACTAATAGCCCATATAATACTCTCTTGAGTGGTGCACCTCATTCCAATACAAACCCCCTATATTTATAGTTGAATAAGGGGAGCCACACCAACACAAGCCTCCGATGTGGGATAAAATTATGCCACAAAAGTTAAAGATTGTGGCTTTGAAAAAATCAACAGAATAAAACAAAACCATAATTGCCTTAAGTACAACTCTAAACATTTCAAGAATAAAATAGAACCATAATGGATTAGAATAAAACAAAACCATAATTGCCTTAAGTACAACTCTAAACATTTCAAGTACTAGGTAACATATGCCTAGGAATAGCTAATAGGAATGATCTAAGTAGTTTGTTTACTGCTCAAGGATTGTGCAATTATAATGATGCAGAGTAGGTTAATCCCAATCTACTGTGCTGAATGCATATAGTAAAACATCGAGCTTTTGCTCGCCATGTAAATACTTTTGACTAAATAATACAAACTTATCATTTTGATAAAAAAAAGTACTAAATAACATATGCATTGCCCTTCAATTGATCTGAGTGCTAAACTGCCCCCTATACCATCAATTGTGCTATTCGCATCAAACATAAAGTGGTTGACTTTAAAGCGGCCAATATGCTCACAAGCTGGCACAATTTGATGAAAAGCTTGTGCATAATGTTAGTTGGGAGATAAACTTCTCCCTGTGACTAATCGAATGAGCCCGGGAAGATAGTAGGGTAGTGGCCTTATTTTGTGGTTAAACTTGTTGTATCAAGTGTTGATTATCTATAAAATTACTCGCCGTTTGACAAAAAAATAATGTCCTAGGCCTTTGTGAGGGGAAAGTAAAAGACAAAAAGGGCCATATGGCTTGAATTGAACAAAAATTGAGTTTTCCTCCCATATCATGGTTGAGGTGGCCGGTGGTGGTGGGGGAGGAGGAAAAAGAAGAAAGGAAGAAAAGAAAAAAGTTCGTATATTTTTTAGTATCTTAGAGTGTGTATTTTAAAATTTTGGGGTGTCATGTTTTTAGAGGGTCTTGTATAAGTCGTAAAAAAAATAAAAACACTCCTAAAAATAGAAGTGCCAAAAGAGCCTATGTTTTGTGTGGTCATCTTTGTTCATCATCCATGCTGAAGCTTATGGAAGGCAGGGCTGCTCGTTTCATCATTTTGATACATTAGAATATTAGTTTTAGCTCCAAATTAGACCTACCAAATGTATTTATGGTTTCCTTCTGTTATTTCAACAAGCCTTGCTGTGTTAATTTCTTTTGTTTTGGGTTGAATTCACTTTGAGCCATGAAGATTGTGGGTTGGCTGACATCCCCCATCATCCATTTCTAAAATAGACGCTTTGCACCCCCAAACAAACCAAATGGTTCCTATTTCTCAATCTTTCTGACTTGCTTTGCTCCTATGAAACCAAGGTCGAAAAGATTGAAAAAATCAGTCATTCACAACCATTGACGAAGGATTCCTCGAAAAGTTAAGGATTAGTAATTTTTTTTAGAAATTTAGAAATCGAATGGATTCGCTCTTATACATATGTGAGGAAGGTAATCAAAAAAGAAAGAAGATGAGTTTTTCTTTCTTTTATCACTTAAGAGTTGTGTGAAATGAAAGTCTAGTGCACGGTTTTGAATGAGAGAAAGAACTGATAGATCCTCTTTTTAATAGTCAACTGAATTTCGACAAAATGCCTGTTGAACAACTAAAAAGACCATTTTATCCTCAAGGCAGTAATATGAGAGGTGAAATTATAATATTGGCCCCAATTAGAGGCAATAAAAAAAGT